TAATCAATTTTTAATATTATTTGTGGCTCCACAGCTAATTTCAACCCTAGCTTATCTATATATATTAAATAACATCAATTGTTAAAATTATTTTTAAGAAAAGAAAAAAAAAAAATTGGGTAGATATTTACATAAAATTCTTGTCTGCGCTGAATTGTTCTATTCATTATATCGAATTTGAGCTGAATTTATTCGGAGTCAAAAAATCTGTAAAATTACAAAGTTCAATCAAATTGAAAGAGTTTTAATATATTATAAAAAATATGGGCTCAAATAATTTACATTGATAAAATAATAATTATCGATTAATGATTCAAGGTTGAAATAATTATATATAGCAAAATTTTCGGAAAACGACTTGAATAACGAATTCCCAATCAATATATGTGGGATTATACATACATATATCTGAATAGTGTTTATATGCCTTAAGTTTATCAATCGATAAATATCGACTTCCGTCGATATATGCTTAAATATTATCGATTCATGCTCTTTGACCTTTGTACTTTTCGCAAAACTCTTTTTTCAACTACTTCCGGTTAATATTCTACTGAACCTTTATAATTTCTATAAGGTAACTCCGCATTCCTCACACTCAATCTGTCAGCTCTATCACAATTTTCTTGTTGCCTATCTCCCCTTTGGGTTACAAAGAAAAGAAGGCCCAAAGCCACGGCGACAAGCTCATGGGCTGAAGAAGTGAAAAGCAGAACAAAGCTGCTTATTGTTTTAATGGTTTAAGCTGAAGCCAGCCATGGCGAACTGTGGACTTATTCCACTGCTGCTGCTGCTGCTGCTGCTGCTACGGCTGCCACTTCGGCAGCTTCTTGTTGTTTCATGCTGCAAAGTGCTAAGCACAAGATGATGCAGAGCAGTTGCTGCTGAGGTCCTCCACGGTCCTCCATCGAGTCGTGCTGTCGTGCTGAGGGTGGCTGCAGCAGCGACGACAACTCACACTTGCCACAGCACTTGCCTCGCATGCGTCTGCCTTGGCTCAAGTGTGCAGCACCCGCTCAGCTTCAAGTTCCTCTTCTGCTTCTTCATTTTTTTTCCCCCAATTTTTTTCATGCTTTATATCATACTTCATGCATGTACAGAGCTCGCTCTTTATGTGCGACTGTCGCCTTTGGCGAAACGGAACTTCTGTGTGGCGCAGCTCTCGCAGAGTTCGCAGTGTGTGTGTGTGTGTGTGTGAGGGATGGAATGGCAATGGGCGGGGTACTTTCGGACTGCCTGCCTGGGTGGTCCACGGTCCTTGGAATCTCTGTCTTCAAATTGATGCGCATAAAAATTGAATTTGTTAGCAAAATTGACAACTGAAACTTGTGTATGTCAAAGTAAGTGTGTGTGCGTGTGTGTGTGTGTTACGTGCTTCGCGTGCAACGTAAGCAAAATTTATTTATGCTCTACGTTTTAGAAATTTATTTTAATAGTCTCGTAATGTGATGTCATCCGACGCCCAAGCCATGTGTGTGTTTAGCTGCTGATAGTTGACAACGAGCGAGCGAAGGCAAAGGCAACACAAA